CATATTCACATTAAGTATATCGATCAATAATATTTTATCGAATAATATTTGGCCGCAAACTGGGAGGGACCTTATCGTGTCCAGGGAGCTACGGACACCGGAGCATATTATCTCGAGCAATTAAATGGAGAACCACTACCTCGACCCTGGAATGCTGCGAAGCTAAAACAATATTATAGCTAAAGCCACTCACTTGCTGGGGACTTTTGCCGTCGAATATTCACCTTTAGTCGACGAAGGGAAAATCTTGACCACGTAGGCGAGTCGAGGTACGGACCCGACCTACCAACCAACAAAGACATAATGTTGCTCACTTTGACGAACAACAGACGTGCCAACAGGGACACCTCGATCGAGCTCTGCTGTCAAAGTACCCTAACATGGCAGATCACCCAGCTCGCGATGGGCAGTTCACGCCACAAGCGTAGGATCCCGACCGCGATCATACGCCCGCCCCGCGGATCCCTATCCCGCGCCCTCGACACATTTCAAAGTGTGTCGAACTGACATTAGGGTCGAACGGGTACCTTCACACGAACACGAACTTCGTGAAAAATTCATAACGACCACGATAATGGTCGGGCACATACATAAAATATTGTTATTCAAATAGACAGTTATAAATAAAGAAATTATAATATGCTGACCACAAGGGTTGGCGTTGTTCAAAAGTACAGTTTAGGCACGACGACCACAAAACTAAAAGAATGATAGCGGGCACGCATGCTCTAAAATAACAGCGAACACGCAAGCCCTGAACAATAAATACAATCAAACTTCATCCTCCCTGTCGCTGCTGTCAGGGGGATAGAGGATCTTCCCGTCAACGACTTGGTTAAATGGGCTCGCCCCTCGACCACTATCTCGACCCCCGAGTTCAAGATCTTCAGCTGCTCGACAGTAGTGTTAAAGTCGTAGCCAAGGGTATCAACCACGTCTTGTTCGAGCACGCGGATGCGAGCAATCAAATCCGCCCTGGTCGCCATGTTCTTCTTCGTTTCGGTTTCATCCTCGGCTGGCGCGGTGATCCCCTCTAACTCCAAATTACGAGCGACCAGATGCTCGTTCTCCTTAGTGGCCTCCTCCAGCTGAGGTCTCAGCTTATTTAAATCATTGAGAAGCCGAACTTGGGCCTCGAACTTTGACTCGTGGTTGAGGATGTCACACTTCAATTTCTGATTTTTGGCCTTCAGCTTGTGGATTTTGGCGTAGGCCGTGTCGAGGGAGGCTTGAGCACTCGAGGACTCATCATTGAGTGAAAGGGCCGTATTGAGCACCCTCATCACCACGGCCACATCCTTGGCCAAGTGCTTTCGGCGAACCTCCTTGTCTTCAGTCAAGATTGCCTCCCTCTCCTCCTCGTGCACGCCGAGGGAGTTCTCCTTGCTGAAGAGGTCGCGGTTTAGATAGCAAGGAGGCAATATGAAAACCCCCGCAGATGTTTTGTCACCATCGGGAGTTACGCCCGTAACGTTATCTGTACGCTTCCTCTTAGCCACAGGCTCGTTGAAGGGAATCTGGGCCGGATCACTAGAGGAAGAAGGATTTTTTGATGAGGAAGGGGAACCACTGGCCCGACCGGCAGACTTGGCATGTTCCTGAAGCTGGGCGACTCTGTTTCGTGGCCAAGAAATGGATGCGTTCTTAGGCCTCAGCTTCAACAGACGCTCGGAAAGAGATGTCATTCGACCTGTAATAAAAAAGAATCGTTAGTCGAGTTGGAAAAATCAAAAACAGCGCGAGCACATCCCCGCATAAAGAGGAGCAAATTAACGGCTACGCCTCTTACCAAAAAGCCTCATGGCTTCCCCATTCGAGGAGGACTCGAGCAAGGCCTTCATGTTGATCAACCTATTGACTAAAGATACTCCCCCTCGTCGTCGAACAACAGGTTGTTGTTCATGTCCACGCACTTCACAGGGGAGAAACTTTTAACATAAGCTGACAGCTTCTCGTATGAAAGCTGGTCTTGGGCGTCCAAGTCCTCGGGTTTCACTGCATAGTATTCGGGCCTTTGTTCATAATGCTTCCACTGCCATTCGAGCGGGAATCTGGCCATAAGTCGGGTAACTTGCCTCCCGTCCTCCACCTCTTCCACACGAGTGTAGAGAGAATCTATAGCTGCGCCCTTCAGGGGTTCACGATGAAGTACCTCTCTTTAAAATTTTGGACGGACTCCAGATAAGGTCGAAAGAGTTTCCCGAACTACTTGAAGGATACCCACGCCTTCCCCCCTCGGACAAATTGTCTTTGGAGGTGAAAGATGCGGGAAAAAAGGGGTAGTGTGGCGCCTACCCCAGGTACTGGCAGACGAGCTCAAACGCCTGCATAAATGCCAGCGCATTCGGATGAAGTTGGGAAGGCGCCAACTGAAGCCACTGGAAAACCCTGACCTGGAAATCATTGAAGGGAAGGCGTATCCCTGCCTCTTTTAAAGCAAATTCGTACATGGGGAACCGTTTTCCCGGATACATCGAGCATATCCTTCGGTCCTGATAGGGGATTTAGAGCATCCAATTGGCCGAGGCCCCTTCTGCGTGTTCCTCCGGGCAATTGAACGCATCCGTCACATCTTGGGAAAAGCACGATTGTTTATCCCGGAGCTTAGGAGTGACCCAAGCCAAAGGGTCCTCATCGGTATGGGGCTCGTCTTCGTGATGGGCGGCCGAAATGTCGTCCCCGACTGAACGCGCAATTATACCTGAAAAGCAGGGGAAATTAGTGAATTCGACATTATCAAATCCATCCTTCCACTGCAGATCAAGTGAAAGGGCGACAAATTCGACCCAAGCCCTCTACATGCTAAAGCGGACCATTACACTATGAGGACATGTTGTCGGGGGGATCACTCGTCGAGCAAAAAAGACCGGGATACCCCCTATATCCTAGGAAACCATCCCCTGTTACAGACATTATCCGGGGAGGCCCCCGACACTATATCTAATGAATGTTCATAAGTGTCTGGCACATTCACGAGTGCTCGACACGGAATCCATGAACTCAAACGAACATTCATGAGTACTCATCATAAAACTCATGAATATTCATCCAATCAAGGCAAAATTTTGACATTTAATCCAGAAATGCTCAAGAAACATGGTGCTAAGAGGCTATAACTTACTTGGATGAAGAACTTGAAGAGAGAAACTGAGAAGTTGAGAGAATTGCTTCACACCACGAGCAAAGAAAACTGAGAAGTTGAGAGAATCACTTCACACCACGAGCAAAGAAAAGATCGAGAGGAAACTTGAGAAGATGATAAATGAGACCCAAGGGCCCCCTTTTATAGGCGACCCACGCCCCAAGGGATCCCTCATGAAAGGTCATCATTTCATTGACCCCTTTTGCTTTTTCTTTGAAGGGGTGGCACCCCAAAGCACTAGCCACATAGCTCAACTATCAACCACGAGTCCCTTCTGGACTGGCGAGCATACGCCCGACTCCTACGTGTCGCCCTCAAATACGTACGAGGCAGACACTTACACGAGGAAATGCTCGACATTAGAGAGCACATAGGGACACATCTATTTAACCACCTCGGGGACGAGGTAATGCTCAAAAAGCTAACAACTCCCAGGAGACGGGCATGTCAAAGGGAATCTCACAGAGGCTCCTCATCACCAATACGTCCTCTCGAGCAAGCGGTTGACCCATTCGGTCCCGCTTATCCATGATATTCCCCGACGTACCCGAGCTTGGCCCCCCGTGGGCAACGACTCGCTCCTTTCGGGGACTTTGGCCCTCTACCTCGACCATGTCTCCGGTATCGAGAGGTGAACTCAAGTCACCGCCCTCTAGCTCGAGGGCAATAACTTGGGGGGCTCATGATCTGGATTGGGCCTACACTCGCCCTTTGGACGGGAAGCCCAAAGACAACCCAAGTTAGGGACCGTTGGGCAACTCCCCATCCGACCGTTGGAGGACGTGGTCCACGATCCCATGACAGACATCTTAAACTGCCCTCCGGAAATCACGGGTCCAACCCTATTTTCGCGGAGCAGTTGACCAGGGGGGAGTCCACTTGCTAGACTCCATACATACGTAAGCCTTGACAATTCCTGTTATTGGGCCTCCACGTGGCCCAAGAGTGGGAACCTTGGCCCAGCGTTGCGGACAATAAATACCCTCTCTCTCAAGAGGGTCAGGTATTCAATTCATCTCTAAACTCATACTTGCTTGCTTATTCCGCTTCTTACTTTGCCATCAGAGTGTCTTGCAGGTACCCCTATCTCATTCAACTTCTACTCGAATCAACTGTGACGGTCTATTTCTGATCCGATAAGATCAATTTTTATATATTAAAAGTAGAGTTTTTAACACTCTTTTAGTCAAATATATTAATCTAAAAATTCTTTTTATTATTTAATTACTCAATTTAAAAATTGATATATATTATTACTCTATTTATAATTACGTAAATGTTAATAAGTAAATTCAAACTAGAAATAAGATTAGATAACGTGTAATGTTATTCCAGAGGTTGGATAGATTGTCAAACGAGGTTTGTTTACGATGTTCCCCCCTTCTACTACTCTTCTCTTGCTATAACCTCTTCGAAGGATCAATTGTAATCGGAGAAATTGCTGTTTCTCTCAGGTAATTTTACTTCTTCTCTCTGCGGTTTTCAAAAAGCTCAAAAAATATGCAGTAATTGTCATTATTAGAGTATTACAGTATATTCAATCAATTTATTCAATGTAATGATTCCACCACTGTAGAATAATGCTTGAGTTAACATGCATCTGATTCCCATGATTCTGAATCATATGATGTTTATTTCTTTGCCCCTGTTTATGTTTACTGCCACAGTTTATCATACTCTTATTGGTTTTTTTTTTATACTGATTACAAGGTTTTGAATCTTTTGATTCATCACTGTATGCATGTAGAGTTCCATGTTCCTGCGTGGAGTATGCGTGTTTTTGTGTTTATATGTTGAACCGCATGTGTTTATAAATTATAATCCTCGTTGTCGAGCACTTATGTTAGTTAAAACATAGATGGCAGGCCACATGACTAGGTCAAGAAGGCTAGAAACTCAGCAGCTGGAACAGTCGAGGGCTAAGTGGACAACATCACTCACTAAGATACTGGCTGATTTGATGGTTGACCAAGTACATAAAGGGCATAAACAAAACAATTCTTTCAATAAGAAAGCATGGAAACATATATGTGATGGATTTTACAACAAAACGGGTTTGAAATGGGACAGGGACCAACTCAAAAACCGACATTCAGTGTTGAGGAGGCAGTATGCTATCGCTAAGTCCATTCTTGATCAAGGTGAGTTTATTTGGGATGAAGCCACGGGATCTATAAGGGCGGATGATGAAATTTGGGCTGAATACATCAAGGTATGTTATCTTCAATTTTTCCTCACTTTAGAGGATCCAAATCATTTCTGCAGTATCGCTGTTTTAGGATTGGAGTTTTGCTGCACTTAGGCATGATCTGTTTTCCGTTCTTTATTAAATACTTGACGTAACACTTGAAAAATTACAGAATCATCCCGATGCTGAGCCCTTAAAAAGTGGTGGCTGTCCAATCTTTAAGGAGCTATGTACAATATTCTCTGAGCCAACAACAAACGGAAAGCATGAATTTTTAGCTACGCCTGAGGAGTCTTCATCTGAATCCGATGACGAGGAAGATTCAAATTACCATCCAACAGTTCAAACTACTACACCTACAGCAACTTGCAATAGTCGCAAAAGAGGTCGTAAAGGAGTTGACGATGCTATTGTTGAGGCTATATTGGAAATGGCTTCTGCTTCAAAGATGAGAGCAACTGCTATAGAGAAACGTAACTCTAAATACAGCATTGCTGACTGTATTAAAGAATTAGATTTAATGCAAGGTGTTGATCAAAGGATATATTTTGCTGCTCTAGATGTTTTCAACAAACCTAATGCAAGGGAGATATTTTTATCTCTCAAAAAGAATAAACGTTTACCATGGTTGCACCGCAGATGTGCTGTTGCATTCCAGTAGATAGGTGGAAAAAATATATGAAAGGATATCTTTTTGGCCAATTTGATCCATTAATGTTGAGTTATTCACAAGCAATCTCATCAATATCACGATAGTTCCTTAAATTTTGGTGTTAAAAGATATTGTTTGATTGAATTGACTATTTTACATGCAACCATACTAGTAATAGAAGCAATCTGTCACCAAACACGCACTTAAACTTGAGTTGAATGATGATCAGTCTTATTGTTTCTTAAACAATTTTCATTTTTATCAGGAAGTACAGATTGGTGTTCTCATCTATTTTACTCTATAAGTCGACAAAATGCATGTCTGAAACTTGTTTAGTGAGTTACAAAACATGAACGCATAGAAGCAATACTTGTTTGTTTTGTGCAAGCTTGCTTGTGTCAGAGGTGATAAATCTCAAAACACTGTAACATGGCAAATTTATTAGGAATTGTGATCTCCAAGTTGATGAGTTTTTCAGTTTTCAGCAGATTTTCAGCTATCTCTTGGAAGCTCAACAATCTACCAAATACATAGGCAACAAGTATCATGAGTTTGGTAGTCACTATTCTCCATGGAGATGCTGGAATAGTCTTGATTAAGGTGATGTTTAAAAGAGATTGAATATGTTTTGCATCAGTTTTAGAATATATTTATAAACAATACCATGCCTATATTTTTTCTCTAGTTAATCATTAATTTAGCATTCCTCTTATATATGTTTGACTTGCATTATATGTCTAAAACCTAAACTGATGTTGCTTTGATGACACGTTATGGGTTTTCTAAAAGCCAGGAGTTGTAAGACAGAAACAAAAAACATTTCTAAGAGCCATTTGTAAGTTATAAAGAAGATCGTGAGATTTTAAAATTTGAAAAACAAATAAAAGGCTAACTAAAGAAAAAGAAGAGTGAATGATAGGATTTGTTCTTAATTTCTTCATTGTATTGATAAATGCACAAGTGTAAATAGTAGATGTATAGAATATACACAACTAGTTGTAGAAACCATGATGAATGTAGTTGATAAACACACAAACAATCACAGTTTAGGCTGAATTACAGTTTAGGTAACATAAGTATTAAGTTTGGTATTTATGCAGTAGGGTAAGATGCTTGCATTGCAATGCCACAGAGGCCTTCAACAGCCTCGACTCCTCTTTGCATCATAATGTATCCTTCTTCACCCCAATCAGTTCCCCATGAGTTCTTAACCAACCAATATTTGGTTCCATCGTTACTGACACCATAACCCACAGCAGTGACACCGTGATCCAACTCAGTTCCACATGAACCAGTAAAAACACCACTTTTGTAAAATTGAAAGTCAGATCCACTAGCATCAATGGCTACAGAAATTGGTTGATTTGCCACAGCTTTTTGCAGTGCCTGCTCATTGTTGGCAGGGACATCTTCATACCCAGTAATAGTAGCTGCATAGATAGATGCTTTGTTTGCATTGCATGTTCCGTCAACTCCCTGATAGGGGTATTCGGCTTCAGTGTCTAGTCCATGATTCTGAATGATGAATTTGAAAGCATCATCCATAAGACCACCCTCACAGCCTTGGTCCTCACCTTTTGTGTCACAATCAACAAGTTCTTGTTCTGATAAAGAAATCAATTTTCCAGTACTCAACTTATGAATTCCTTCTGTTGCCGCAACAGCAGAAAATGCCCAACAACACCCTACAAAAGGGAAATTAGAATTAGCTAGAGTTAGATGACAATTAAGTTTATGATTACATGTAGAATTAAATGCATTACTCATTAAGATTGATATTTACCACATTGTCCTTGGTTCTTCACAGGTGTCACTGCTCCTTTCTTCCTCCAATCCACTGTAGAAGGGATTGCAGTTTCATTTTCGTACTTAAAAGTAGTTGTCCTTGTGATTGAGGAGCACATGTGTCCCTTAAATTTGTTCCTAGATGCTATGAACTCCTCATTAGTGAGGTCTGCAAATTCATTAATGCCTAGTTTGTATGATTTGTTATTCTCATTATTGTTGAAAGCTTCGATGTAATTCACGTTTTTTGAGAATGTCTTGAGACGTTTCTCCCTTTCTTGATGATCTTTATAAACTTTGTTATAGTGACTCATCCACTGATCATGCCTCTCATACATGGAGTCATCTTGGAGAGTGCGAGAAGTGACTTGAATAGCCAATAATCCCAAGCAAAAAAGCAGTGCCAGTGAGATATGATATAGAGGATTATTGGCTGCAGCCATGGTAGCAGGTGAAGTGTGAGAATAATAAGAACAAATAACTGTTTTGAGGTTGACTATAATTAGTTAAATGTGAGAAAGATGTGTTGTGGTTGTACTAAGAGTAATATGGTATTTATAATAGGCAAAACAAATCTGAGTTTCATTAAAACAAATTTATCTTCAATTCTGAGTATACGTGCTCGGGAGAATTTTCTAAATGTTACCTATGTGATTGGGACCCTTAATGTTACCTATGTGATTGGGACCCTTAATGTTACCTATGTGATTGGGACCCTTAGTTACACAACACGTTAAAATACTAATCAATCAATACATACGACGTTTAGTGCGTTGGAAAAGAGTAAGAGAAATTAGCATTGCCACCTCTCTTTTAAATTTTAGTATTTCTAAAATATCCTTTTTACTATTTACTTTAAATTTTTTTATTTTATCAATTTTTTTTTTACTATTGGTCAAAGAGGATAAATTTTGAAATTTTCGGTACTCTTAGTTCATTTTCGATATTGAGTATTGTCGTATACCGGAAATTATGTACATTCTATAAGTTTCTGGTTGCGATATATCTGAAATTTCAAAATTTTCAGTTGTGATTTATCGACTATTTTAAATTTTTTGTAAATTTTACAAAAGTTTCTACACGTACTGGAAATTTAGCAAATTTCTAATAGAAAATCTTTACCGGGAATATTGAATTTCCAGTGTATTGGAAATTTCAGTTATATTTGAAATTTCTGATATGTCTGCAGATGAAGTTTTATATCTTTGCGGTCCTGAATTGGCAGTTTCAGCTTCTTCTACGAATTCATGTACTGATCTTGCGCAGTTCTTCATCACATATAACATATGTTTTCTATTTAATTTACATAATTTTTAATTTTTTTTTTTTGTAAATTGATGAAGTCTACTAATTATATGTTATTGTAATGTCAAATTTTTGAATCACGAGATAAAGTTCTAGAATGAACATAATCTACCGAAAAAAAATCATGGTATTGTTGTTGTTATCCAATACTGCTAATGGAATGCGAGGGAGAAATGATAAATTGAGTATGGGTTGTGACATAGGAGAAAATTACAAAAAGAAAAATGAATCTGCAAAACCTTTTGATGGCAATTATACTATGAAGGTTAGATGCCCATTTAGGCTGAGATTTGTTTCAAGTGGTATCGATTGGAAGCTGATGGTTAGATGCGGGATGCACAATCATAGACTAGATGAGGATTTGGAAGGTAGGGGTGAAAATAGGTCAGACCGATAACAGGGGTCTACGATCTAGCCTACATAGACTCAGGCTACGACCTAGCCTACATAGGGTCAGACTAGACCTAGGCTTTTTTAAAAGCCTATTTAGTTAAAAAGGTTAGACCTCAGGCCATGAAAAAAGTCTTTTAGGTCTAACAGGCCGATCTATATAAATAAATATTGTGATACGGTGGGAGAACTGACTTGAGATTTTGCGTTTTATGTTCGCAAATGTTTCGGTTTAGCAAGAGTCACCACCGACTTTTTATTTTATCCTAAGGAAAGGTCAAAAAGCACAGGAAAGACCTTTGAGATGTTTTCTTGGGTTCGGGGAGTAGATTATAGAAAGGGAAGGCATTAGCACCCTTTCCATCCATGGTTATCCATGGGCTCTTAGTTACTTGCTTAGATCACTTGCTTTGTTTTTCAATTGTTTGAAATTGTGCTTTTCAATTGTTTGAAATTGTGCTTTGTGTGTGATTTTGAAAGATGTTTTGAAAAGAGGTCATTTGTTGTGGCAACCTTTGTAATGATTCTTGTTTGAATGTATACAAAGGTGTTTTTATCTTTTGGAAAGTTTCCAATGTTTGAAAGTAGGGTTTTGAAATTGTGTAGTGAAGTGTGTTTTGAAAATAGCAAGAATGTTTTTGCAAGTTTTGATCAAGTAACTAAGAGCTATCTACCCTATTTTACTCAAAGATCTTTCTTATGTTTTTTAACCCTTTTAACAGTGTTATTTCACCATTGTATTTGGTGAACAACCTTGTGTTAGGATGTTAAACGGGACAGGCGCGGGTCATCGTATAGACCATGATAGAAATGGTGTCAAATATTTTTGGCAATTTTCCTTAAGGGACTTGATCATTTTGTTTAGGCAACTCCGATAGCGTTATCGAGGGACTATGGTCTTTTATTTTGTTTTTGTTTTGCTAAAATACTTGACATGCAATTATGACCCATTTTTTAAGGCAACAAGTGGATTATAACCCTAGGGGTGCAAGTGTGCATTGTGTTTTTTTTTCATGCATATTTATCTTGGATTAGGTCAAACTAATTGTTGATTTTATTTGCATACAAACCCTAGGTCTAAACATGGCATAATTGAAAGCTTTTAAATGTGCGAGAATTTAAATGCTACACTATTACAACATGATATAGGGAGGGGGATACAAATTTGAATTGGGGATATTTGACAAGAAATTAAACCCTAGATTACTATTACAACCAAATTGAATGTACAAGATACAACATTTAAATGTATAATAATTGAAATAAATACAAATAAATAAAAGTCAAATAAAATGTATTATGCAAAAAGTTTTTATGTATGTAAAAAGTATATTTTTTAATGTGAAATGTAAGTAAATAAAAAAAAGTCAATTTTTATTATTTTCCTATTTAGGACAAAAAAACCCTAATTCTTAATAAGTAATATTATTTATCAATTATATGCAATAATATACTAATTTATACAAAAAGTAAAAGTATATTATAAAAATGATATTTTTAGTCCAAAATATTAATAAAAATGAAAATAT